ATATACACACACGTCTGACACACACACTCACACAACTACATACATACACACACACATAACACACCCACATACACACACACACACACACAACACACACACACACACACACACACACACTACACACACACACACACACACACACACACACACACACACACACACACACACACACACACACACACACACACACACACACACACACACACACACACACACACACACACACACACACACACACGCACACATACACACACACAAACAAACACACACAAACACACTCACACACACACACACACACACACAAACAAACACACACACACACACACACACACACACACACACACACACACACACACACACACACACACACACACACACACACACACTTCTTACACATGTACGTGTTTGTATGTAAATATATAAAGTGCACGAGTATATGTGTCTGTATGTGTAGTATGCATTCGTTCATGTAGGCCTATTCACGACAATTTATTATTATGATTATTATTTTATTTTTTATTGATGTAGGCCTATTTGCGACAATGTATTTTTTTATTATTATTTATTTATTTATTATTATTTATTTTATGTATTATTATTTATTTTTTTTTTTATTTTTTATTATTATTATTATTTGTTTTATTATTATTATTTATTATTATTATTTATTTTTTTATTTTTTTTTTTTTTTTTTTTTTTTTTTTTTTTTTTTTTTTTTTTTTTTTACAAAGGCAACCTCCACAAAATATTACCTTATTCATAAAATAATAATCAAGCTTGCTGCACACGCGGTTGCTAATACTTCCCTGCCTTTAATCTGCATACTGTTGTCATTCGCATTTTTTAAAATTCCAGAATTCAAATTGAAATTAATGTTTTACAATGAAATACCAAAATTTTGTTACAGTTCGGAAAGTCTAATCTACTTTCCGCCAATCATATTTCCTCTCATTTATTTTCAATTGTTTAGGGAGCGACAGAACAATATTGTTTTATTTTTGTTTGGTTTTTGTTTTTGTTTTTACTTTTCTTTTTTTTTTTTTTTTTACTATTTTAGTTTCTTTTTTTTTTCATTGTCCATTTTACATTTTTTGTTTTTCTTAATTCATTTTATTTTTTTTACTTTTTTTCCTTTCTTTTTATTTTTTTTTTTTTTTTTTTTTAACTTTTCATTTCCTTTTTTTCACTATTTTTGTTTCCTTTTATTCAGTGTCCCTCTTTTTTACTTTTTCTTTAACATCACTTCACTATTTTTACTTTTTTCTTTTACTTTTATTTTACTTTTCATTTACTTCTTTTTTAGTATTTTAGTTTCTTCCTTTTTTCACTTTGTTTAACATCAATTTACTATCTTACTTTTTCTTTTCATTCTTTTTCCTTATCTCTTTTTTTTTTCATTCTTTCATTTTTTTTCATTTTTTTCTTTTTTTCTTCTTTTTTTTTCTTCTTTACTCCTTTTTTTTGTTTTATTTTTTTTTTTTTTTCTTCTTTTCCCTTTTTTTTTTTTTTTTTTACACTTTTTTTTGACATCCACTTTAATTTGACTTTGGGTTAAACGCCATTCATATCGCGGGACACTTCTGGAATATGTTCTGGAATATGCTTGCAAGTTTGTTTTAATAAACGCTCGCTGACCGGAGAGGACGCGGACCCCAGGGATAACAGGCCAGGTTTTCCCCCTTAGTGTTGTGTGGGGTGGGTGTGGGGTGGGGGGAGGTGAGTGTGGGGTTGAGTGGAGGGGGTGGGGGGGGAGGTGGATGTGGGGGGGGGATGTGAGGGGTGAATGGGTGTGGGGGGGGGGGGGGGTGTGAGTGTGGTTGTGTGGGGGGGGTGAGTGGAGGGGAGTGGGGGGAAGGTGAGTGTGGGTTTGTGGGGGGATGAGTGGTGGGGGGGGATGTGGGGGATGAGTGGAGGGGGGGGATGTGGGGGTGGGGGGGGTGGATGTGGGTGTGTTGGGGTGGGGGGATGTGGGGGTGAGTGGGGCGGGAGGTGAGTGGGGGTGTGGGGTTGTTGGCATAATTCGTGTGTGTTTTCTTGTCCTTCCTCGTTGTTTCTGTTGGGCAGTGGTGGGTGTGTGCGTGTGTGTGTGTGAATTGTGTGTGTGTGTGTGTGTGTGTGGGTGCGTGTGCGTGTGCTGTGTGTGTGAATGCGTGTATGTTGCGTGTGTGTGTGTGTGTATGTGTGCGGTAAAATCGGTACGAAGGTTGACTCTCATCTCTACTTATTTTGTGTGTATCAATTGCATATAACTGACTTATCAATCTCCATATAGACGAATAGATAAAGTAAAAGGCGCCTAATACCCGAACTGGGGCCAGTCATGGTAGGGTGGGCCCTCTTTCTCCTTTCGATGCAAACCATACGTCAACCAGGTGGCGCAGATTGGGGGAGGCCTATGTCCCAGCAAGCGGATTTTAGAAAGGCAGTGTATATTTTATATAAATGTATAAATATTTGATATTGATAGATTTGTTGTTGTTTTTTTCTTTCTTTCTTTCTTTCTTTCCTTTTTTCTTTTTTTCAGTCAACAAGTTCGAAATGTATCTGGGTCAAGAGGGTCATGCTTCATGCATTGGTGCTATCACACTCTCCCCACAATTGCTCTTCTCTCTCGCTTTCTCTCTCTTTATTTCGGTTCTCTCCTTCCCTCCCTCTTCCTTGCCCCTTTCCCACCCTCTTCTCTCTCTCCTCCCTCTCACTCTCTTTCTTTCTCTCTCTCTCTCCTCTTGTTTATTTTCCTCTCCCTCCCTCCCCCTTTTCCTCCCCCTCCCCCTCTCCTCCTCTCCGCTCTCTCTCCTCCTCTCTCTCTCTCTCTCTTCTCTCTCTCTCCTCCCTCTTCCTCCCCTTCCCCCCCCTCCCCCTCTCTCTCTCTCCCTCTCACTCTTCTCTTTCTGTGTGTGTCGTCGCTCCGCAGCGGTGCTAGAGTACCCTCTCCAGGATACAGACCCGACCAAAAGGGGTTGTACGAGAGGCTTGTGACCCCTACAGCAGGTCCCCCTTCGCCCTGTCACCCACGGATCAGTGGAAGGGCAAAAGCTCGTGCAGGCCCGGGCGTCAGAACAGCCTCGGGTTTGCTGGGAAGAAAGCTGAAAGTCGACGACGACTGGTGCTGGCAATAGCTCGTGGCTTGCAATGCATGTTATTTCCTGTGCATGCCATGCCCCCGGATGCTCAGCAAGTTCAGATATCGAGAATGTGAATACATAAATTCGTATATATATTTATGGTGTGTGTATACATGTATATGTATGTATATTGTGTATGTGTGTGTATATATATAATGTATATATATAATATATATATATATATATATATATATATATATATATATATATATTATATATGCATATAATTAATATATAAACATTGCATGAATTCATATATGTGTGTAATGTATGTGTGTGTTTAATTGCGTGTCTGTTGTGCGTGTCTCCTATCCCGTGCGTGCAAGCATGTTCCCGGTATGCACGCCCACGTCCCGCCCAAGCGAACCGGCCGTGATCAGCCCCAATCGCCCGCCCCTTACCGGGGCCGCCCCGAGCCCATGCGAGATGAAGTCACTCGCCCACCCGCGGCGTCTGGGTACTTGCGACTCGAATACGGAAGGACCTCGAGTTGTGGGTCGAGGAGCAGCAAGCTGTTTTGTGAGGGGGGGGGGGTTATTAAAGGTGTGATCCGGAGTGGGGGTGGGGGGAAGGAAGGAAGGGAGGGGGGGGTGGGGGCTAAGGGTCGGGGGAGGGGGGAGGAGGGGGGAGGGGTGGGAGGTGGTGGGGAGGGTAGGGGGGGGGGAGGGGAGAGAACAGGTGGGCATGAGGTGCGCTTGATCTCTCTTTCTCCTTCTCTTTCTTCTTTTCTTTCTTTTTCTTTTCTTTTTCGAGTTTTTCTCCCTCTTCTCTTCTTCTTATTTTTTTTCTCTTATTTTTCGAGTTTTCTTCTTTCTGTTTTTTTTTCTCCTATTTTTCGAGTTTCCTTTCTCTCTCTTTTTCTCTCTCATTATTTTGTCGAGTTTTTCTATTCTTTCTTCTCTTACTCTCCTTCCTCCTCATCTCTCTCTCTCTTTTAAATTTTCTTTCTTCTCCGCTTTTCCTCCTTCTTTCCTACCATTCTCTCTCTTTTCTCCACCTCTCATTTACCTCTCTCCTCCTCTCTCTCCCGGTCTCTCCTCTCCCTCCTCTCTCTCTCTTCTCTTCGCTCTCTCCTTAGTCTCTCTCCTCTCTCTCTCTCTTCTCTCCTCCTCCATCTCTTCTCTCTTCTCTTCTCGTTCCTCCTCTCTCTCTCAATCAGCTGATTACGACACCCTGATCCACGTGCTTTGGCCCCAGCTGTTATTACACGTGAGCCAGACTTGTTTCGATCATGTTTCGTAGCTGCCTGGGATTACTGGGGGTTAAACGCTCTGGTTTAAGAATGCTTTCAGGGGGATTATTGGCTTCGTCTGTCGAGGTAAAAGCTGTGGGGGATATCGAGGTGGCATTGAAAAGGAAAGTTGTCAAATTCAAATTGTTTAGAAGGTGTTATTGGAGTTTTTTAACATCATCGTTATGTTTTTTTTTTTACTCTAACGATGATGATGATGATGATATTGTTTTTTATTTGTAATAGCATAGTTATCGTTATTATTAGTTTTTGTATCATTATTATTGGTTTTTGTATCATTATTAGTATTAGTAGTATTATCATTATCATTACGACTACAATTACCATTGTTCTTGCCATTACTTTTATCATTATCATTAATAGTAAGTAGTAGTAGTATTAAAAGTCCCCTTACTATTACTATTACTATTACTATTACTATCTTCTTACAATTATTATTGTTATTATGGTTATTATTATTGCCATTATCGTTTTCATTATTATTAGTGTTTTTGTTATTACCATTATTATTGTAAACATCATTATCGTTGTTGTTATCATCATCATCATTATCATCTTATTAGAATTATTATCACTTACGTTGATATTATTAGTATTCGTATTAGTGTTAGCTAGTATACCTGGTCTATCACTATTCTTAATTAATCATTATTATTATCATTATTATCATTATTGCATCATTAATATTTTTAATTACTTTTATTTACGTCTTCATTACAAATACCATGTTTGTTTTCCCGTCATTATCATTACCATTATGAATACTTTTATCACCATTATTGTGGATAGATCATTATAATTCTTCTAATTACCATCATCATTACCATTGTTAATTGCAGTAATGTAACTCTGATTACCATTATATTTGCCATTCTTTGTGACAAGACTGAATTACCAATTTTAGATATGTGTATGTGTGTGTGTGTGTGTGTGTGGTGTGTGGGTGTGTGTGTGTGTGCGTGTGTGTGCGTGTGTGTGTGTGTGTGTGTGTGTGTGTGGTGTGTGTGTGTGTGTGTGTATGTGTGTGTATGTGTGTGTGTATATACATGTGTGTGTGGTGTGTGTGTATACATGTGTGTGTATGTCTGTATACATGTGTGCGTGTGTGTGTGTGGAGTGTGCGTGTGTGTGTGTGGTGTGGCGTGTGTTTGTGTGTGTGTGTGTGAAATGTGTGTGCGTGCATGTGTGTGCGTGTGCGTTTGCATGTGTGTATGTGTATATGTATGTGTATGTGCGTGTATGTATGTGTGTATATGTATATACGCTTGCAAAAAACAAACAAACAAACAAAAAAAATCTTTCGAGACATATTGGAATAACGATAACAGAAAAAAAGGAAAAAAAAAATCGCGTGACGTCATGTCTTACACTTCTCTTCGGAGGTCATAAGAACAGGACGATTCTCCGGGGAATAAATAGTAATTTGGGGAATCTGGAAGGCGTGGGGAAGGAGCCCTGTGCGAGGCTAGGGGATTTTGTCTGGGTGTGAACGTATACAGTGATATAGGTATGTACGTATGCACATACCTTTATGCTTGTATATATAAAACGAGAGTGGACATACATATACATACACAAACACGCATACAACATACAACACACACACACATACACATACACACACACACACACACACACCACACACACAACACACAACACACACACACACCACACACACACACACATAAACACACACAACACATACATAAACACAAACACACACATACCTACACATGCACATATACATACGTATACAAAATACACGTACATATACGTCAACACACATCCGCAAATTTGTGTGCACATATATGCATGTGTGTGTATGTGTCTGTGTNTCCCTCTCCCTTCTTTTCGTTGCCTGCGAGAGCCATCAGGAGTTCCTGCAGGCTCTTGGTGGCGTCTGTTGTCTCCTCGTCCGCCTCCGTCGCGCCCCTCTCCTCCTCGGCCGAGGGTGGGTCTCCTGCGACGGGCGTGGAGTTCTCGGTCGTCGAGGTGGAGGAGGAGGTCGAGGTGGAGGAGGAGGTCGAGCTGGAGGAGGAGGTTGATGGGGAGGTCGAAGGAGCGTCGGGGACCGAACTAGAGAAGAAGGAGGAGGTCGTTTGGTGGACGACCTCACCAGAGCCCGCGCTGTCCCTGTCGTCGAGGGCCGCTTCCTTGTCCTTGAGGGCGCTGGAGATGAGCTTGGCCAAGTTTGAGACGCCGAACATGGACGCCGAGTCGAGGGTGATCTCAGGAGCGGTCGATTCCGAGGAAGAGGAGGAAGAAGAGGAAGACCCGATCCTCCTCTCGTCCCCCTCGTAGGAGCGGCGAGGAGAGGCCTCCCGGGCCTGGCACAGCGCCGCCACCACCGCCACCAAAACTGCCCCTGTGGGAGAGAAAGGGTTTTATTCTTTCAATTAATTAGTTTTTTATGTCTGTTTTGTTTCATTGTCCTTAATTTTGGTGAATTTATAAAAAAAATTCTTATACTTTTCTCGTGCGATAAATTGGAAAATATTTATGGCGATATATACGGTTTTATGTGTATGTGTCTATCCATCTGTGTACATAGATATGTACATTTGTATGTGTACATATCGGCGCGCACGTATATACTATGTGTGTGTGTGTGTGTGTGTACATGCTTAAACTTCTACGTTTGTTTGTGCAGAAGTACATTAGAATAAACACCCACCGAGTTATTATTATCATAAATATTATCATAAACACCGCAAATATATAAACCTTCTCTGTTTTTTTAATATATATTCACCAAAACCATAAAGTTCAACCACCTCTGTGAGAAACAATTTTTTTTCTTCCTCTGGGCCATTAAGATATTAAGAGGCTAGTTTTTTGTTGTTGTTTTTTCCTTCCTGTAAATGATAGGGAATAAAAATCAGTGGTATTTCTTTTTGTCTTTGTTGGTACTACGCGCATACACACATACAGTTACACTCACACTAACACACACATACACACACACACACATACAAACAAACTAAAACACAAACACACACACAAACAAACAAAGACACAAACACAACACACACACAAGCAATCAGTAAATACAAACAAACACAAACACACAAACAAGCAATCAACAAACACCACATATACACAAACAAGCAATCAACAAACAAA